TTCTTTTCTTAATGGCAGTGGAGGTGAGGCAAGGCTGGGGAGAAGGCCCTGAACTTCAGCTTAAAAGCTACAGCCACAACATTGGCCTGTACAATGTTGACTGTAAGTCGATGTCGTTCTTGAAAAGAGTCCTCGGGTATTAACACTGAGGCCCAGGGCCCAGCACATAAAGCAGTCTGCAGGTGGTGAACACTTGGTGACCTGCCTGTGTGATGCATTAACTGTGCTTTGGTCTGTTGTATAAGTGACTAGCTTGTAAAGGTCACTGCTCTGCTGCCTGGCCTCTTCACCTCACAGGTTTATTACAGTTGGATTCAAGAATTGCTACTGTGTGTCTGGAAGAATAAATAGATTACGTACTGGTATTTCACTGATTCTAAGATGTTTAATATCTCTGAAATTGATACTGGTTTTACTTACATTCGATGGCATGTCATAGCATAATTGTCAGTGATTTTTCTTTCTTAGTTGTTACAAAACAGTGGTGTATCTATAATCAGTAGCACTCAGATTTTACAAATTATTATTATTATGTTTTCTACTCAGGATGATAATACTCAGGGGAATAAGATAACTGTTAAAAAAAAAAAAAACCACCTTGATAATTAGCCTAAAAAAACAATGAAAAATATGCACCAAGATTTTTGCTCAAGGATGTTCATCATGTTGTTTATCATGCTGTGTTGGAAACAATGTAAATAACAATATCAAGTTACAGATATTATGGTATGTTCACATACTGGAATATTACACAGTTATTAAACATGATGAGGAAAAGCATATTGACATATACAGATGTTTACCAGATAAAGCAAGTTATGAAATTCAGGCTATTCTTATTTTTATGAAAAATATATATGTACATATATGGATATTAAGAAGGCTGGAAGGACATAAAAACTAACATTTATTTAGTGCTTATTGTAGGCAAGATTTTGTTGTAAACTTTTCATAGGATTTCTCATTTATTCCTCAAAGTAACTCTATGAGATAGGTACTATTATTATCTGCTTTATTAGCGTCACTTTTTTTTATAGATAAGAAGGAATCCTAAATGGCTGGTTTGTAGGCTGGTTGAGGTTTAAACCTGAGAAATCTGGTATCAGGGTTTATGCTCGTAGCCACTGCTCTCTAGTGATCACTTTTCAGTAGTACATGGTTCTATTTTCTTGTTTATGATTTTCTGTGCTTTCTGATTTTCTAAACAAATGCACTTTACTTAGCAAAAAGTATATCCAGCTACAAAATTCATTTATTCAACAGATATTTCTGAGTACCTGCTATGCACAAGGCTCTATGCCGGAAACCCAGAATTTTTGTCAAATCAGCTAGAGGCAAATATAAACTGAGTTAGAACAGCATCTGAAATTCATTTCTGTTTAGGGGGAAAATGCTACGTTCTGTTCCTTCTAGTATACGCTAACCAGGAAAGCAATTCTGTACCATCTTGTCCTATACCCAAACAAAAAAATAACTGGAGTTGTGATCGTCTATTTCCTCATTCCTCTGTCTTCTATATTCTTTAAAGAGCCAACTTACACAGATATGTAACTAATTGGACTTTGATTAGCAAAAGTCACATTGCAATCGTAAATAATCATAGTTTATTAAAAATCATATCACTACTGCTCCCAAACTTCTGAGTCTTGAGTGCCAGTCCTCTGAACCTGGTAGGCATGGAGACACAGATCTGATGGGCAGTCAAGGGCACTCAGTAAGCCACACTCGGAGGTCAATGTAACAGGTGGTGTCCAAAGCAAACAGAGCAGATACTCTGGCTTCCTTTCAGTTACAATTTTAAAAGGTAGCAATACTTAAAATATGACATTTTGTGGCCTACAATAATAAAATGTACAGCAAAGATGACATCAATAAATCTATGATTACATCAATATTTGTACTGAAAGAAACAGAGCCTCATTGTAACACGCTAATTGACAGAAGAAAAAGAAACATTTCTTGAACATCTACTATAAACCAGACGCTGCTGGACATTCATATACATTATTTCATTTAATACTCACCGTAATATTCTCAAGTATTTTATTACTATTTTGCCCACATTTTGTAAACGAGGACACACTTTCAAAGAGATTAAGCAACTTGCCCAAAGTCACACAGCTAGTGGGTAGCAGAGACAGGACTTGAATCCAGGTCTTTCTGACTCTAGATACTGAACTTTTTACTGTACTTGTCTGGCTCTCATTATTACATACATTAAGACATGGCTGATATCCAATAATATGTGCTGGAGCACAAGAGCTATATAATTAATAAAATCTCTCAACCTAGCATTAAAATAGGATTCCACTGTATTTACACTGTAATGAGACACACGGCTAAACTGAAAATAGCTCAAAAGAAAGAGACAATCTAAATAATGTAGATTTTAGATAACCATTTACCTGTTTTTCTGGTCCTAGTGCAGGTGAATCTGTTTCTAAGCAAATTGAAGTTAAAGGCAACTGTTTCACAAGTTTCTGCTTCTTGGAGAAAAGACAGAGCCAGTTTAAAACATGAGCCATAAAGATAAAAAAGGTGCACTAAACCCATATACCAATGCATCCTACTCTCCAGGAACCTAAAATTCATGCTTTCCTATTCAATCAATAATTATTCACTGTGTTCTCATCCTTCTACTACCAACTGATAGATTTAAACAGAAACATTCATTGCCCCAAATTATCCAAAGCCTCCAGGGACCCAAGCAGTAGTAACCAATAGCCAAAAATGAAGCACACCCAGCAAGAAAGCCAAACATCTGGTATCACACGCCCAAGGGAGACCCAAGGAAGAGACTTCTGTGGTGTCTCCACCACCACCACCCACCACGCTCAGTGTTTGCTCCTACTATTCGCTGTGAGTCACTCAAGGCTTTGCGTTTACCAATTCAATTCATGTGCATATTTAAAGTTTCAGATTGGGTAGGAGATGGCTTTATTTTCCTGTTTATGATTTTCTGTCTGGATTACAAGGGTTGTAATGAACTTCATGAGTTTTAAAGCAAGAACAGAATTCTCTTGCTGCCACTGCACTTTTAAAGTAAAAATGGGAAGTGAATCACTATGTTGTACACCTGAAACTAATGTAACATTGTGTGTCAACTATACCCAAACGAAAAAAAAGTAAAAAAAGTAAAAGATGGGCAACAGATGATACAAGATGAAACATGGTTAAAATAAAGTATTTTAAGATTAAAATTTCAAAAAGCATTGAAATATTATGCACTATTGGTAGATAAACGCTAAACTGTCATAAACTTCCTTTAAGGAAATGTGACAATCTAACCAAAAATTTAAAAATGTATCCCTTTTCCTCAATGATTCCATTTATAGGAAATACTGCACAAATGTGCACATGTATTTGTGGATGTACAAAGGTATCCACTGAAGTACCTTAAAATGTTTTTTAATGTTCATTTATTACTTTTGAGAGACACAGACAGACAGAGCATGAGCAGGGTAGGGGCAGAGAGAGACAGAAAGGGAGACACAGAATCCAAAGCAGGCTCCAGGCTCCAAGCTATCAGCACAGAGCCCGATACGGGGCTCAAACTCATGACTGTGAGATCACAACCTGAGTAGAAGTCGGATGCTTAACCGACTGAGCCACCCAGGTGCCCCATCCACTGAAGTACTTTAAATTGAAGTATAGTTGACATGCAATATTATATTACTTTCAGGTGTACAACATAGTGATTTGATAAATACTTACATTACTAAGTGTTACCCTAATACTGTGACCATACAAGATTATTACAATAGTATTGACTATATTCCCTGTGCTGTACTTTTCAACTCCATGACTTATTTTGTAACTGAAAGTCTGTACCTCTTAATCTCCTTCACCTACTTTGCCCATTTCCCCGCTCCCTTCCTCTCTGGCAACCACTAGTTCTCTTATGAGTCTCTTTGGTTTTATTTGTTCATTTGTTTCTTTTTTTTAGATTCCACACAGAAGTAAAATCATATGGTATTTATCTTTTTCTGTCTGATTTATTTCTTTTATCATAATACCTTGTAGGTCCATCCATACTGTTGCAAATGGCAAGAATGCATTCTTTTTTATAGCTGAGTACTGAAGCACTGTTTATTAACAGTGAAAAACTAGAAATGACCTAATCTTTACTTAGAGTAATGATTAAATAAATTATGATACATCCATAGTGTGAAATATTACACACTTTAAAGATGAAGTAGATCAATATTTATAGACACTAATATCCATGAAGCTGACTCAAAACAAAAAGACTAAGAATTGATCTGATTCAATGTTATCAATGATTATCTTTGAGTGGTAGGATTTAGGCTGACTTGAAATTTGTTCTTTTCTGAAGTCTTTCAATTTTCTATAATGTACATATACTGTCTTTAAAATTAGAAAAAATAGTATTTTTGTTTTGGAAAAGAAATGATACAGCTAAAAATTATTACCAAATAGGAAATTTTTCCACACTTGATAAAAATAGGAGAAATAAAAATAATCTTGAACTATCAATTAACTTGACCTAACTGACATTATAGAACACTCCATCCCCCAGTAGCAGAATACACATTCTTTTCAAGTTATGTATGTTCTATTTACCAAGACCGACCATATTCTGGGCCACTAAGCCTCAACTAATTTATTTTATTAAAAAAATTTTTTTTCAATGTTTATTTATTTTTGAGAGAGATGGGGGGGGTGGGGGGGAGGGAGGGGCAGAGAGAGGAGACACAGAATCCGAAGCAGCGTCCAGGCTCCAAGTCGTCAGCACAGAGCCTGATGTGGGGCTCAAACTCTCAAACTGTGATATCATGACCTGAGCTGAAGTCAGACATTTAACTGACTGAGGCATCCAGGCGCCCCCTCAACTAATTTGGAAGAATTAAAATTACATAATGTATGTTTCCTGAACACAATAGAATTAGCGATCAGATCCGAATAACAAAGTTATCAGGAAAATTCCTAAGTATTTGGAAATTAAGCAACACACTTTGAAATGATCAGTATGGTCAAAGAGGAAGTCACAAGGTAAATTAGAAAATATTTCAAGCTGAAAGAAAGTGAAAATACAGCATCCATCAAAATTTGTGGATTGTAACTATAAGAACTGGTTAGTGCTAATGCAACTATAGCATTAAAGGTTTATATTAGAAAACAGGGGGGCGCCTGGGTGGCGCAGTCGGTTAAGCGTCCGACTTCAGCCAGGTCACGATCTCGCAGTCCGTGAGTTCGAGCCCCGCGTCAGGCTCTGGGCTGATGGCTCGGAGCCTGGAGCCTGTTTCTGATTCTGTGTCTCCCTCTCTCTCTGCCCCTCCCCCGTTCATGCTCCGTCTCTCTCTGTCGCAAAAATAAATAAATGTAAAAAAAAAAAAGAAAACAGGGAAGATTTTAAATAAATAATCTGAAACTTAACTATAAACTATACTTTAACTGTAAAAAGGATAATATATAGGCACACCTTGCTTTACTGTGTTTCACAGATATCGAGGCTTTGTTTTTTTCTTTTTACAAATTGAAGGTTTACAGCAACCCTGTATCTAGCAAGTCTATCAGCGCCACTTTTCCAAAAGCATTTACTCAGTTTGTGTCACTGTCTCACATTTTGGTGATTCTTGCAATATCCCAAACATCTTCATTGTTATTATATCTGTTATGCTGATATGTGACCAGAGACCTCTGATGTTACTAGTGTAACTGCTTTGTGGCACCGCGAACTGTGCCTATACAAGACAGTACACGTAACTGATAAATGTGTATGTCCACCCACCAGCCATTTCCTTGTCTCTCTCTCCCTCTCCCCAGGCCTCCCTACTCCCTGAGACACACAATACTGAAATTAGGCCAATTAATCACCCTACAATGGCCTTTAAGTGTTCAAGGGAAAGGAAGAATCACATAGCTCTCATTTTAAATCAAAAGCTAGATACGATTAAGCTTGGTGAGGAAAACCGAGACAGGCAGAAAGTGAGGTCTCTTGTGCCAGTTAGCCGTTGCGAATGCAAAGAAAACGTTCTTGGAGGAAATGAAAAGTGCTGCTCCTGTGAACACACAAGTGATAAGAAAGTGAAACACCTTATTGCTGATACGGAGAAAGTTTGAGTGTCCTGGAGAGGAGACGAAACCAGCCACAACATTCCCTTATGCCAAAGCCCAATCCAGAGCAAAGCCCTTTAATTCTCTGAAAGCTGAAAGAGGCGAGGAAGCTGCAGAAGTAAATTCTGAAACCAGCAGAGGTTGGTCCATGAGGTTTAAGGAAAGACACCATCTCCAAAACATGGAAGTGCAAGGCGGAGCAGCAAGTGCTGACATGGAAGCTGCAGCAAGTTCTCCAGAAGATCCAGCTCAGAGAATTCAGGAAGGTGGCTACGCCATAAAACAGATTTTCAGTGTAGACAGAACAGCCTTCTATTGGAAGAAGATGCCATCTAGGACCTTCACAGCTAGAGAGAAAAAGTCAATGCCTGGCTCCCAAAATTCAAAGGACAGGCTGACTTTCTTGTTAGGTGCTAATGCAGCTGGTGACTTTAATGTTTACTTACCATTCTAAAAATCCTAGAGCCCTTAAGAATAATGCTAAATTTATTCTGCTTGTGCTCTATAAATGGAACAACAAAGCTTGGATGACAGCACATCTGTTTACAATGGGATTTAATAATTACTAAGCCCACTGTTGAGACACAGCTTTATTGTGATATTTGCTTTATTGCAGCATACTCACACTACCTGATTTCAAAACTTACTATAAATCTAACATAATCACGGTTGTGTGATATCGGCATATGAACAGACATACACATCAATGGAACAGAATTGAAAAATGAGAAGTAGATCCAGATATACAGTCAATTAATTTTTTTACAGTGCCAAAGTAGTTTTAGGAAGAAAGGATCATCTTTCCAGCAAATTATACCAGAACCAGATATCTATAGGCAAAATAGTGAATCTTGCCTCATACTTCACAACATATACAAAATAGATCACAAATCTAAATGTAAAACTAAATCTGTAAGTCTTCTAGAAGAAAACATAAGAGAAAATCTTTTTGACCTTGGGTTAGATAGATTTCTTAGATATGATCCTAAGAGCGCAAATCCTAGAAGAAAAATAGTAACTGAAGCTCATCAAAATAACGAACTTCCCTTTGAAAGACACTAGAGAAAATAAAAGAATATATTTGCGAGAAAATGAGAGAAGACATTTGCAAAACACTTAGCAGATAAAGGACTTGCATCCAGAATATATAAAGACCTTCGCCAACTCAACAATAAAAAACAAACCAAATAAAAAGGTGCAAAATATGTGAATGAAATTTTACCAAAGAAGAGACGTGGATGTATGGATGTTAAATAAGCACATGAAATGATGTGCTTTTATTTTAAGTTTTTTAAAACATTTTATTTCTAAGTAATCTTTACACCCAATGTGGGGCTCACAACTCTGAGATGAAGAGTCACATGCTGTACTGACTGGGCCACCTAGGCACCCCTGCAAAGATGTGCTTTTAAATTTTTTAAAACTTTTTATTTGAGAGAGAGCACGAGTGAGGGAGGGACACAAAGAGAAGGAGACTGAGGGAGAGGGAGTGAGAGAGAATTCCAAGCAGGCTCTGCACTGTCAGCATGGAACATAAATTTTAAACATCATTAATTGAGGAAATGCAATGGAAACCACAATGAGAGATGGTTATGCACGTATCAGAAGAGCTAAAAAAATGACAACACCAAGTACTAGTAAGGATGCAGAACCAAGACTTTGGCTTACTGCTGTTGAGAATCCAAAATGGGACAGCCAATTGGAAGTCAGTTTGACAGTTTCTTAATAAGGTAAACATACACTTAACCTTATGACTCAGCAATAGCACCTCTAGGTTTTAACACAGAAGAAATGAAAATATATGTCCAAACAAAGATCTGTATGTTAATGTCTATATCAGCTCTATCCATAATAGTGTGAAACTGGAAACAATCTAAATGTTTATCAACTGGTAAATGGGTAATCACTGGAAAATCCACATGCAATCAAAATAAACTACATATACAAAATAGACTACTCATATATGCAACAACACGGATGAATCCAAAAGCATTAAGTAAAATAAGCCAGATCCAAAAGCTTACATGAATTATTTCATTTAGATCACATTCTAGAATAGGTAAAACCATAGGGACAGAAATCAGTGGTTGCCAGGATTGGGGGTGGAAGGAGGAATTTACTAGAAAGGTGCATGAACCAACTTTTTGGGATGATGGAAATACTCTGTATCTTGAATGTGGTGGTAGTACACCTTTGTTAAAACCATTAGAATCGTGTATGTAAAAAAGGCAAATCACAATAGGTATATTTCTCAATAAACCTGATTTTAAAAACTACAATTAAAAAAATAATAAAACATAAATAATTGTTACTGGAGATTTTTTTTTAATTTTATTTTATTTTAGAGAGAGAGGGAGCAAGGGAGGGAGCAGAAGGAGAGACAGAAAGAATCATAAGCAGGCTCCATGCAGGCAGTGTGGAGCCCGATGTGGGGCTTGATCCCACAACGCTGGGATCATGACCTGAGCTGAAGTCAAGAGTTGGATGCTTAACCACTTAGCCATCCAGATGCCCCTTGGAGATATTTTTAAAAAATCTTGGCTATACCTCAATTCTATACTCTTTACTTACATTAGTTCTGAATACTGGTAGACAATGTACTGTATTTCACAGAATTTAAGGTGCCATTGACTGTAACATGCACCTCAGTATCAAAGACAATAAAATATAAAAAAAAAAAGAGTGTCTAAAAATATGGTAAATTACCTAAATTAGGTTTTGTTGCATTTTTAATTGATAGAATTCACATACCATAATATTCATTCTTTAAAAGTATACATTTCAGGGGCGTCTGGGTAGCTCTGTCAGTTGAGTGTCCAACTTCGGCTCAGATCACGATCTTGTGGTCTGTGAGTTCGAGTCCCGCGTCAGGCTCTGTGCTCACAGCTCAGAGCCTGGAGTCTGCTTCAGATTCTATGTCTCCCTCTCTCTGCCCCTCCCCTGCTCACTCTCTGTCTCTCTCAAAAATAAATAAACATTAAAAAAAATTTTTTTAAATAAAATAAAAGTATACATTTCAATGGTTTTTACTATATTCACAAGGTGGTACAACCATCAGCAGTATGTAATTCCAGAACTTTTCGTCACCCCAGAAAGACACCCTTTACCCATTATTAGTAGTCACTAATGATTAGTAGTGATCATTAGTCTACTTTCAGCCTCTGTGAAATTTGCCTAGTCTGGACAGTTCATATAAATGGAATGATATGTGTTCTTTTGTGTCTGGCTTTTTTCTTAGCATAATGTTTTCAAGGTTCATCCACGTTTTAGCAGGAATGAGCACTTCAATTCTTTTTATGATTGAATAATATTCCATTATATGGGCACACCACATTTTGTTTATCCACTCATCGGCTGATGGACATTTGGGTTGTTTCTAGTTTTTGGCAATTATGAATCCTGCTGCTGTGAACATTCATGTACAAGTTTGTGTGTGGATATATGTTTTCATTTCTCTTGGGTATCTACCAAGGAGTGGAATTGCTGGGTCATATGTTAACTGTGTTTAATTTTTTGAGAAACTGTCAAACCGAGTAGGTGTGAAGTGGTACTGCATAGTACCCTTGATTTGTGCTTTCTTTTTGGCTAATGTCTTTTCATGTCCTTATGACCATTTGTATGTCTTCTGGAGAAAATCTACTTAAATCCTTCGTCCATTTTTAAACTGGGTTATTTGCCTATTTATTATTTATTTATTTATTTATTTTTTTTTGAGAGAGAGAGTGAGAGCAAGAGCATGAACAGGAAAGGGGCAGAGAAAGAGGGAAAGAGAGAATCCCAAGCAGGCTCTGTGCCCAGTGCAGAGCCTGACACAGGGCTCGGTCCCACAACCCTGGGTTCATGACCTGAGCTGAAATCAAGGGTTGGACGCTCAACGGACTGAGCACCCAGGCACACCTATTTTTTTTCTAATTGGTGAGTAGTAATGGTGTTTTATATACTCTGGACACTAAACCCTTATCAGATATAATTTGCAAATACTTTTTCTCATTCTGTAGGTTATCTTTTCACTTTCTCGATAGTATCTCTTCTAGTATAAAAAGTACAAGAATTGTTTTACTGCGGAAGTTTTAAATTTTGGTGAAGTCTATTCTTTCTTTGACTGCTTGTGCTTTTGGTGTCATATCTAAGAAACCATTGCCAATTCCAAGGTTATAAAGATTTTGATCTGTTTTCTTCTAATAATTTTATAGATTTAGCTCTTGTGTTTATGTCTTTGATCCATTTTTGAGTTAATTTTCATGTCAGTGTGCGGTAGGGACCTATGATTAATTTTTGTAATGTAACCAGAATAAGTATTACAAGTGTGTAATAAAAGCTCGTATTTTAAAGTGTATTTCACAAAGCATTAATTGAGGCTTAATGAAAGAACTTACCTGTCCACTTCTTATGATAGAAGGAGGAATTGAGAAGAAGTACCCAGCTCTTACTCCTTCCATGGCTACAGATGGCCGGCCATCAAATGCATGCAGAAGCACTTTGTCAGCACCTGTCAAAGGTTAATGATAAGCTAGAGTTTCCTTTCATTTCCTTAATGAGAAGTTTTTCCACTAATCAAATTGGGCAACATAGATTGTAAATTTTAAGTAAATGTTGATCACTAGGACATAAGGATGAGGTTCTAGGACTTCTAACGGGTAAATGTACAGTGTTCAAACAGTACAATAAAAAATACAGCACGTTGTTAATCTTCGGAATAAAATTGAAATACAATTTTTTTTTTAAATTTTTTTTTTTCAACGTTTATTTATTTTTGGGACAGAGAGAGACAGAGCATGAACAGGGGAGGGGCAGAGAAAGAGGAAGACACAGAATCGGAAACAGGCTCCAGGCTCTGAGCCATCAGCCCAGAGCCTGACGCGGGGCTCGAACTCACGGACCGCGAGATCGTGACCTGGCTGAAGTCGGACGCTTAACCGACTGCGCCAGCCAGGCGCCCCTGAAATACAATTTTTTAAACAAATTTCTAAACATCCTTTATCATCAAACCTTTTCTAGACATTTGGAAATTATTCTAGTAGGAACAATTATTGTTCCTACTACGTCTTTAAGCAGTGAAATTATCCTTCGCAAGAATGCTTGTGAAAGAGACAGGGTATCAGTGACTGAGAGATTCTGTAGTCAGGGCTGGCTTCACAAGATCACCTTCAGTTCTTAAAGGATGGCCACTCAGCCTGCCTAAAAATCCCAGTAATTTTTAGTAATCCCAGTGATTCTCATCACTGAGAAATACAATACTTTCTAGCTGCAGGCAATTACATTTACTTTACTATTTGATACTGTTTTTTTTCAAATAGTAGGTGTGATCATTTGTGGATTGCGACTATTAAGTGAACTATGAAATCAATTTAGTGAGTCACGACTGACCAGCATGTGCTTATATGTATGTGTGCGTCTGCATATATGTATGCACACATATTTATATATACCATATAAATATACTGCTCCTTAAACGTTTCTCAGGTTTCTTTATGCACATATACGAAGTCTCGAAATAAAGTCATACTACAAAAAAAGTATACATGTGTATATATTGCGACTCAAAATAAAGTATATTTCTTACTGTGTATAGCACTTTATAAAGTCTGAAAAGTAATTCTGTAAGATATACTTTTACTTTAGAAGCAGCTGAAGTTGACAGTGCATTTTATGTATCACGGCCACAGCCTGTATAATTACCATTTTCTGAAGCAGCAGCCAGAAAACATGCAAAACAGTAACACATCTTTGCTCTGTTTTTTTCCTCTGTCTTTAATCAGCTGGCTAAGCTGATTAAAAAATTAGAACTGCTAATTTTTAAATTAGGGAATATAAATTACTTGATCCAAGTTTTCATTTGCTTTATGCTGGCCTTTTAAATGGCATAGTCACACCTGGAAGTAGACTGACTTGCAAAATCACCTTAGTTGGTTTCCACCTCCACCCTTGCCCCATTTCATTCCCTTTAAGAAATCAAAGTGAAACACGGTTTATTCCGTGAGAACATGGACTGGAACTGTCAAAGTGAAATATTAGGCACATTTCTCTCAGGAACCTAAATACCTTGCTCATTTAAGAGGCTGATGGTGGGTCTTCCAGCTGAGCGTGAGTGAACATTTCTGTTTAACAACAAAAAATTCTTTTTAGGTACTTAATCTGTAAGTATTATTTTGTTCTATTAAAGCAATTCAGAGAAAAAGAAATGCAAAGCTCCATCTCAGGAGAATCATTATTTAATTTGCTCCATAGCTATTAATACAGAAAGATGATTAATTAACCTACAGAGGCAAATTTAATCTTTTGGCTAATTGGACCTGTCGGATTAGGACTTGTCGCTGCTCTTCCTTCTGTCCATCAGTGCCAGCAAATCTGGGGGAGAAATCTAGTCCCACCTGTAATGGAAAAATACAACAGATTTACACGTTTATGGTTTAATGAACCTAAAAGACATGCCATGGAGCCATGCTGTCCAAGAAACATGATGGGAGCCATACATGCAAGCCACATGCGTAACTTTACAGTTTCTAGTAGCCTTGTTAAAACACTAACAAGGAGCACCTAGGATGGCTCAGTCGGTTAAGTGTCCGACTTCGGCTCAGGTCATGATGTCACAGTTCATGGGTTTAAGATCTGCATCAGGCTCTGTGCAGACAGCTCAGGGACTAGAGCCTGCGTCAGACTGTGTTTCCCTCTCTTTCTCTGCCTCTCCCTTGCTTATGCTCCCTCTCTCTCTCTCAAAAATAAATAAACATTTTTTAAAAAATAAAATACAAACACTAACAAGAATCAGGTGAAATTAATTTTAATAATATACTTTAATCCTATTAATATAATATGTCAAAAACATCATTATTATATAGTAATATTATTATTTCAATACAAAATCAATATCAAAAATCATTGTTATTTTACATTCTTGTTTTGGGTACTAAGACTTTGAAATGCTGTGTATTTTACATTTATAGCACATCTCAGTTTGGACCAGTCACATTTCAAGTGCTGAACAGTTGTATGTGGTTACTACATTGGACAGGGAAGATTATAATGCCTGTTTCCCTTGACACTATTTTGGCACGCATTGCTATATTCTAAATTTAAGTGTTACTCTTATCTTTTATCTTTGATTAGAAGTGGAGTTTATTACCAAGTGATAAAATGTTTCACAACTGTAAATTGTATAATAAAAATGTTTTTTAATTACAAACTCTAGCCTAGTTAATGTCAGTATACACCAAGTTAACTACCACAGAGATGACCCTATTTAAGAAAAGGAAAAGAAAATAATTAGAAATGCTAACAAAGCAGTTTTCTTTCATTAACATAAGCCTATAGTGAAGTTTTCTATTGTTTTATCCGCAAGCTATTTTGCTTTTTGAGGAAGTACTGACAAATTATCATTCAGCTAAATAGGGTAAAGATAATTATCTAAGTCAGTTGTAACCACCAACAGTGAATTAAAGATTATATTCATATATCATATTTAAGTCTGTATTGGAAGTCATTTGATCGGCTATTTGGTGTTACCTCTCCAATTGCCAATAATCGATCCTTGTAATTCTCCATAATGGGCAAAGCTACATCCAAATCCTGGGAGAAAAAAAGTAAATTTGCTTAAACAAAGAGGAAGGGAACTGATACTTTAGAAAAAACATTTTATATGCCAGGCACTGTACTATACTGGATCCTTTACATACATTCAATACCTTTAACCAGTGAAGAAGTATTAATAGTCATCCTACAATGGTACATACTACTATTTGGAAATTTGAGTAGAAACATCCCACACCCAGTCAGGTTACAAGAACAAGACTTTCAATGAAAAGTTCCACCAGGACACTTCCTAATATTTAAGAGGAATTTCCTGGCATTTAAAACTGATTTGGATTTCCTCCTGGAATAGCTGAGCAAGAGAGAAGAAAGCCAACAGGTAGTCACCCTTGTAATTGAGCTTTTGGGAGTGCACTGTGGTATGTCCACCTCTGAGGATGTTTTTTTAGTTTTTTCATAGTGATAATCCTATACATCCTCCTGCACTGTTTTCACTGATTTCTTCTGTCTTTACAGTCATGCCTAGCCTATTTTTTCCCTAAAGATTCAATAGCATAAACACTAAATATCACACATATGCTTCTTTGTCAACTACTGAAATAACTGTATAGTATTAGTTTCCATGATATTACTATTTCCACTTAAAGAGAATTCACCCTGTGAGAGTTCCCTTGTAAGAAAAGGGAAAGACAAATAAATACATATATGGAAAATTTGCTTCTAGATATCTTATAAACTACTTTGAGAGTTTTAGTCTCAGGATATGTAAATTGCAAAGGAATTCTACTGAAGATAATCAGAACAAAGAAGAATTAAGAAGAGGGAGGTGAAACAGATGGTAAAGGAACCGGAGATTTTACAATTCTACCTCTAGAGACAGAAAGGATGAGGGAGAGAGTAGATCAAGGCCTTAGAAATACATTCTAGTAGACTCAACGAAGAGGAATTAACATTGTTGTAGGAGCTAAGAGTATAAAACCTTAGACACCAGAGAAGGCGTCTGACAACAGCCAAGGAGGTTAAACAGTGTCATCCAAAGTTTCTTCCATATCAAATATACAAGTTACTCTGTCTTGAAAGCTCAGAGGCACTGGAAAAGTTGGGGATTACCCAGGAAATGGCTGATATTTGGAAAGTCTTAGAAAGAAGGTGTACATTTGGATGAAGACCAGATATAGGAAAAATTGTGCTTCTTGGAATATGTATTATCTGTGAAAAAAAAAAACAAATTTATAATAAGACTGTTCCAACTTCTCACGAAATAGTCTGGAAGTTCTGGCAAGTCAGGGATAGTAAATAGAAATTAATATATTTCATACTACTAACTTAATACATGTGTGTATTTGTGTGTGTGGTCTCTAGTATTTCAATAGATGTAGAAAGTTTTATAAAGACATTCATAAATCTATTTCTGACTTCATTTCTGTTCCAACTTCCTCCATAAGGTCTCAAGTTCCTTAATAGCTAATGGTTCTATTATGGGGCTTCAAAAATCCTAAACCTCTATAACTATGACTATGACTACTATTGTATAATTATTCATGGTTTACAAACGAGGAAATTGTGGGGCATCTGGGTGGCTCAGTGGGTTAAGTGACCAACTCTTGATCTCAGTGCAGGTCTTGATCACAAGGTTGTGAGTTCAAGCCCCATATTGGGCTTGGCGCTAGGCATGAAGCCTCTTTAAAAAAAAAAAAAAGAGGGGGGGCGCCTGGGTGGCGCAGTCGGTTAAGCGTCCGACTTCAGCCGGGTCACGATCTTGCGGTCCGTGAGTTCGAGCCCCGCGTCAGGCTCTGGGCTGATGGCTCAGAGCCTGGAGCCTGTTTCCGATTCTGTGTCTCCCTCTCTCTCTGCCCCTCCCCCGTTCATGCTCTGTCTCTCTCTGTCCCAAAAATAAATAAATGTTGAAAAAAAAATTAAAAAAAAAAAAAAGAGGGAATTAAGACTTAGCAAAGAGCCACAGATCACAGAAGCCAGTAGGACAGGCCTTTCTGACTTCAAAGCCCATGCTGTTCCTACTATGCTGCTGACAGAAAAAAAGAGAAAAGGAAGAGGGAGGAGGAAAAAAGGGGACAAAGGGCAAATGGGAAGGAGAGCAGATTTATTCTGAATGATTTTAAATAATTACAAAAGATTTTTTATCAAAGAAAATGTTTAGTCTTCAGAACCTTTAGAACAGGTCAGGTGTGTAACACAAATGAATGAAGTGGGCCAAGAAGGGACCAGAGCCAACTGCAGAGCACATGCCCTGTTTGCAGGGGGCACTAGATTGCAGACAGTGAATTTTGGTTCCCTGAAGCGTCTCCAGGGTCCAAGCCCTGCCTGGTAATAATATATATTGAATGAATTAATTCAGTAATGTGCTGGAAGATTTGTGTGATCTAGGCAACTTTACACTTGATCTTAGCCAAAGGGCCGGGAAGCGATGCTAGGCCACTTTAATTTTATAAACCAAATTAACTTAATAAATGCTTACTACATACCTAGCTTTGTACCACATATTAGGGGCTTATAATTTAATCAATATGGGAAAATGAATCTAGGGTATGGACAAGCACACTAGGAGTCAAATAGGAATAACTGCTTATCTGTGGTGTTTTTCAGAGGGCTATCCTGAGATTTCCTAAGTTCATATCTGCTTTAAGAATCTAGAATTACCCATCTATTGTTGGTATTTTAACTACTTTTATAAGTTAAACAGTCCTATCAGTTCTACATCTGTGCCAAAATATGTCAAATCCACCCACCTCCTTTCACCTCTGCTGCCACCACTCTGGTCCAGTCTACCACCGTCTCTCTCTCTGTAATAGTCTCCTAGCTCCTTCTGTCTTCCTCTTTTGCTCCTGTCTTAAATCTCCCATTGAATTGATGAAATCCACCAAGGCCCTTACGACGTGACCCCTGCCCAGTGCCTCTGACCTCACCACTGTTACTTCCCCTTGCCACCAGTCACATCAGCACTTTATTTCTTGTTCCTACCTTAGGACATTCGTGCTTGGTTGTTTCCTTTGCCTACAACACTTGGATGCCTCTCTCTGCAGGGCCAATTCCTTCATAGCATTCAGGTTGCATTTCTAACATCACCACCTCAGAGAGGCTTTCCTTGACTACAATCTAAAAACCAGCATCCACAATCCCTATCACATAATCTTGTTTTATTGTTTTTAAAGCACTAAGTGCTACCTAAAGTTTTCCTGTTTGTGTATCTAATTGTTGATGGTCTGTCTGCCCCTATCTAGAATCTAGCCTCCACGAGAGGGATTTCACTCCATGCTGCTTGGAGGAGTGCTTGAAATGCAGTAGGTGCTCAGTAAACACTTGTTGACTAACTAAATGAATGCCTATTAATAGAAATCTCAAGATCAACGAAAGAAATGCTATCTTGCTATGATCCCCAATATTTTTGGAATTTTAACTCTTTGGCAATTTAGCTAATTCTATCATATCAGGAGAACAACTCAGGAGAGCTATAGGACAAGTATTTATTTTTACCTTAAGTGAATTAAAAGTAATTTTGTTTGAAAATAAATAGAGCTACCTGGCGTATCCTAATGTAAGAATACAAATTCACTATTATAAAAAATCAAAGACCTTGTAGCCTCCTTTATTCATAGGTAACAAAAAGTCTTTACTTCTTCAAAATGGGGGGCTATCAATTCCATTATGTAATAAAGCATTTAAGGAACTGTGCATCACCCTGATGTTGAGTCAGGAGACAAGTCTGAAATGTAAGGCACATTGGCTATTGTGAGTCTGTGAGATCTTGTAGGTAGGATTTTTTTCACAGAGGGTATAAAAGCAACGCAGCTTAATAGATCAGAGCATTCCTATAGAAATGGCTTAATGGTCAAGAAGACACTGCTCATTTGCTCCCTTACAATACTACATCTATGAATTTGTGACTTTCTGGATATTTTATCACTTTTTTGCCAAAGCAATAGGACAACATGATAAAAAATGTGACAGCAAGTCACTTATAATTCTGCCCAATCATCACAGCTAATGCCATTTCTGTGTTTTTCTCTCCAGTCTTTTCCTTATAGAATATATTTTTCCTTGGATGTCACTCCTAGCAAATAAACCATTTGGTATCCTGCTTTTCTCCCTATATTATACTGTTAAATATTTTCTTCATCACTAATATAAAATAAACCTTATAATTCTCATTTTCCACGCATGCATCCCATATGTATGTATGTATATTTAACATTCTACAAATTAATTTTTATTTCTGAGCCTCTAGGCTGTTTCCATTTTTTCCTCTATTACAAATAATGCTGTAACAAATACCTATGTGAAAGGTAGTATTTCCTTCTTCTGGATTATTGCCTTAGAATATAGGTCAGAAAGAAGAGGATTACAAAGTAAAAAGGTATCATTTTTTTTATGGTTCTTGTTTTATATGACTGTTACCTTTAATGTGACACTTCTTTGGTCTTCTGGTGAAACTCCTTGCACAGGGTGAACACCCAAACATGGCAGGACAAACCCCTTATACCTAAAAATGTAGAACAAATTAAGAGAGCAGGAATATTAAACTAGTAAACAATGCTACTCTAAAGAACAAGTATGAAAGACTTTTTTAGGGCTACATCGATGTGACTTTTTTTCTTCTTATTCTCTTTCAAAATGGATGATCTCTGATATTATAAATATGACATCATAACTGCATCCTTATTAGCAACTCTTTAAATGCTTAATGAGAGAAGCAGCACCTTTCTGAAAGCTGCATAATCTTCTCAAATTCTTCTGAATGTTCAGCAACCACCACAAGAGCCATAACATTGGCCTGAAACAAAAATGAATAGTTAGAATCTCAAACAATACACATTTAACTGAAGATAAATTTAAAGTCTTCTGTACTTTTAGTTATTCTTACTCACTCACACACCATCAATATAATCAGGATGGCTATCACTGGGTACTCACTATGTTTCAGGCACTATGTTCAGTGAATATAAGTATTACCTCATTTAATCTACACAACCCCATGAAGTAGGCACTACTGTAATCCACTATATAGATCAGGAGACAGTTTTGGATGGAGTCAAATAACTCGCCAAAGATCATTAGGCCTGTGTAATTCCAAACTCCTAATTAAGCTGCCATAGTGAATGATTGCTGTGTATGTAAAATGTATTGGCAACCATTCCGGACTATCACTTTTACGGAAGACTATAAAGTGGTCGTTATAATTAATTTCATAAATACTTCCAAAAATTAGTCATTTTTTTCTGAAACAAATTAAAAATGTCTCAGGAAACTTTTGTAATTTCTCCATGATCTCCGGAGCTAATTTCAGAACTGACAGATGGACCAATCTGTTCCATATAACTGGTAAGCACTGTAGTTGCGGGAACATATTTTGGATCCAGACTATCTATCTTATCTGTATCACGTTACTAGCAGTGTGTCTTTGGATAGGTTAATCTCTAGGTCTGAGTTTTCTCATCTACCAAATGGTTGGCTACAAAATAGTAGCTTCCTCCTAAGGATGTTGTGAAACATTAAATGAGACAATGTAAGAAAGGGCTTAGCTCGGGGCCTGGCATATAGTAAACAGTTAATTAATGTTACTTATTATTAACAAAGCAACATAAGCATACTGTCTCTAAAGTTCAAGCTGTTCTAGCTTGAAATTAATAGGAAAACAAAAGGCAATGATAGATATTGACTTACTTTCTTGGCTTTCTCCAAAACATCATCCAGATCCTAAAACAAGCGTAAGTAATCACAATTATTTCAGATAATAAATAATATAGCTCTTTGGCTGTATATATCAATGTAGTTAGGCACCATAAAGAATGACAACAAAGGCAAGGAACAGTGTAACAGAATGTGAAGAGCAATAGTGATGCACCTTCTGTTTACTTCGTCTCTCCCTAAAATCTGGCTTCTGTTCCCACTCTACTAAAACAGAAACTGTCATTGTGAAATATAAAGGACACTTCTCTATCCTCCTCTTACTTTACCTTCAGCAGCATTAAGAACTCACTTGTTCACTCCTTCTTTCCTGAAATATTTCCCACTCTTGGCTTCTGCTATACTACTGCTGCAAACACCGCTCTCCACTAGCTGCTACTTTTCATTCTCCTTAGCTGGCTCTCTCTCCTCTGCCAGATTTCAGGACCCTATGCTCCTCTCTCTCTATACCTCGGGTGACCTCATCCACAGGTTTTAATACCATTATGCTAATGAGTCCCCAATTTTGATCTCCAGCCTATTTTCTCCTGAACCCAAGACTGACATTTAAAGACATGACATTTCCACTTGGAAGGATATTAGGCTTCAACATGTGCCAAACATCTGCTTCTCTCAAAACCCCTTGCAACCACCATCATCTCCTGTCTACATAACAGTAAACGCCTCCAAAAGCTAGGGTTTTCTAGCTTCCACTCTTGCTATTTGCCACACATTAGCAAAACGGTTTTTAAAATGGAAATCAGATTTGTCCCTCTCCCTTAAAAAAACAAAAAACAAAAAACCTTTACTGGATCCACATTGTCCTTACTGGCCTACTTCACCAGTCTTGTTTCCACCCCTCTCTTTCTAGCTCAGTGGGCTCCACCAGCCTTTTTGTAGGCTGAATGTGCCAAGTTCTATCCTGTCTGGGGCCTGCAACCTGCTTGCTTTATACACCACCGTACACCCAACTCCTTGCTTGGCCGACTCTTTGTCTTTGCAATTCCAACTTAAGTGCCCCCTCTTGAGAGGTTTTCCCCCTAAAAGACACCCCGCTCTTCCTTCTCTATCATCAGCCTCTCATCCCCAATGGAGCAGTTTGCAACTGTGCAACTTTGCAACTCTGATTTTGTGTGTTCTGTCCTTTTGTTTGCTTCTCTTCCCCATTAGAACTGGAACACACGGTGCGCGGGAAAGTGCCGAAAACACAATTCCCAGGAAAACTGGGGGCTCCGCCAGGAGTTGCGAGGCGGGTGGGATAAACGGCCGGACCAAGGGGAGGAAGGGGGAAAGCACTCCAGCAAACGGGAAGAGCAAATAAAAGCTACGTGGAGACAGAGGGCTTAACGCTATTCAGGATCAGAAAGAAAAATCATGAGGACTGAGATTAAATACGGAGCCGGGAGCAAGTCACTCCGGGCCGTAAACGGGCCTGGGAGGATTTGAGGCTTGGTCTTAAGGGAGGAGAGCAAAAACAATCTGAAGGTAAAGGGCCGCGAGCCTCCCCGCTCCCACGGGCAGGGCCTCGCCCTTACATACGCTGTCAAAGTCCGGGGCCGAGAGGTGGCAGTGACAGTCCACCAACCCTACGCCCACCGCCCCCATCGCCGCCGCCAGCGCAGCACTCCACTGGTCCGCCGAGCACCGGCCGGAACGCTGCCGCAGCGCCGGGTTGAGATTCCGGCCGGACGCGTGCTACTTTCCCCAGTGAGACCCCGCCCTTCCGCTCCCAGAGTTCCCGCCCGCGGTTCAAACAGGAGAAATGGCGCGGGCGTCTGTGTTGGTGGTCCCTTCCCCTCCGAGGGACGTGGAGACAGTGGCCGGGGCGGACGACGGGGCTTCGGTCGCCGCCACCTCCCGAGAGGACTTCCGGGTGCGCTGCACCTCGAAGCGGGCCGTGACGGAAATGCTAGAACTGTGCGGCCGCGTTGTGGAAAAGCTGGGGGACGCGCTACCAGAGGAGATTCGGGAGCCTGCGCTGCGAGATGTGCAGTGGGTACGGGCCCAGTAGCCATCTCTTGTCTTATCATCCCCTTAACCCGCACCGTCTGAGGGCTCAGAAAGGGCCTACGCCGGGCTTCGCAAAGTTAGCGGTGCCGCCCGCTCGCGTAGAAGCGGCCCGAGAAACGCAAGGGGACGAGATAGATGCTAGTGTCAGCCGGGTATCGTTAATCGCTTAAGGCCGGCGCTGTCCAGTAGAAAAATACAAGGAGCTATGTATGTAACTTGAAATTAAAGGAAGAAAAAAAATAGGTGAAATTAACTTTAATGATATGTTTCATTTAGCGCGCTCTATCTGTATCCAAGATACCGTTTTAACTTGATATAATAGAAAATGAACGAGAAATTTCATATTATTTTGGTAGTACTAAACTTTCCAAATCTGGTGTCTTATATTTAAAGCTCATCTCCTTTCGGACTAGCCACATTTTAAGGCCTCAATAACCACAAAGTGGCAGATGGCTCCCCTATTGGACAGTGCAGACATAGACTCCTGGAAAGGGTAATCCTGGAAATCAGTCAGTCACTAAACTAGGTCTTTCCATTTCCCTGTTTCAGAACTTCATGTAAAGTCCGCGAAAACATTTTCTCTGTAAGTCTAAAGTAGATAAGGAAGGGGTCTTGATTTTAAACTTCAGTGGCCCTCAAAACATTTCCCCTTCCTTTCTCATATTTTGCAAAGCCCTGAAGAAGCTTTTTGGGGGGGGGGGGGAAAGACACAACAGATTGAGGGATAGATACCACCTGTCTTCAGGAAGCACACAGTCTATCTGTTGGGGGGAAAAAAGTTCAAAAACTCATTCACACTCTGTGAATGACCACAGTGCAAACAATAAAAAAAAAAAAAAAGGTTAAATGGAAGAAGGAAGGAACAGTGCCTGGGTAGTGATTCTGTGTTCCAGTTTTGTGTAGAGTAGTTTTGCTACTACCTTCTTGCAAGCAAGGGAACGATAATAGAGACATACCTCAGGACCTTTTTAGTAGTTTTTGGGGGAAGACTGTTTCATTGCATAATGATCTTAGAATTTGTCCCTTTCTAGGAAGTGCTAATGTACTTAGAACATTTACTTTACAGAAAAAAAGGAGCTTGGCTTAACCTATCATACCTTATTTAACGGATGATTAAGTGAATTAGAAGATAAAGATTTGAAGACTTAAACTACCAAGGAATTTATTGTGTTTTATATTAAGAGCAGGTAAAAGGCAGAGGCTTAAGTATGCTGACATTCTCTTTAGCTAAAACCACATAATGTAGTAATGGAAATTCGAAAAAAAAATTGGATTGGGGCAACCAGGTAGCTGTCAGTCAAGCTTCTGACACTTGATTTCTGCTCCTGTCACAATTTCAGGGCTTGCAAGTTCGAACACCGCACCAGGCCCTGTGCTGACAATGCAGACCCTGCTTGGGATTCTCTTTCTCCCTGTCTCTGTCCCTCCCTCGCTTACACTCTCTCTCTCAAATAAACTTAAAAAAAGATTAGATTGATATGATTTTGCAATGAAATATATTACAGTTTGTGTTCTGAGATAATCTTTGAATGACCATGTATAAAGTAAGGATTTTAATTTACAAAATCTTTAAAGTGTATTTAACCCATAATTATCAGTCATTATTTGATTTATGCTTATTTTTACTCATACAAAATGTGTAAAATACATTCTCATAGTAACAAAGGCATAAAACAAAAGTCTGAATTCCTCTCCCCTATCCCCCTTCCTTCCTGGAAGTAACTTACTATTATGGAAGGCCTGGAGGGTGTAATCCTTCTATACTGCCCCCCCCTCACTTTTTTTGTTAATATTTGTTTACTTTTGAGAGAGGGAGAGAGAGAATCCCAGCAGGCTCCACACTTTGGGCACAGAGCTCTTTGGGGTCTGGATCTCACAATGGTGGAATCACGATCTGGCCCCAAATCAGGAGGCAGACGCTTAACTGACTGAGCCACCCAGGCACCCCGTCTATACCTTTTTATGGTTTTTACATCTCTCTCTCTCTCTTTGTTGTTTTAGTTTTTTGTTTTTTACGTTAATAGTGTCATGCTAATGTAGCAGGTTAGCTTTTTTTTTTTTCTATCAAATATGTCTTTATTATTTGGCAATGGTTTTTAGAGATATACTTCATTCTTTTTAAGTGTTGCATGATATGGATATAGTATATTTAACCATTTTCCAAATTGTGATTTAGATTTTATTTTCCTCTCAATGTTTCACAATTTCAAATAGTGCTTTCATAAATATTTCTAATGCATTTTTTATGTTTTTTGGGAATAGTTCTTTAGGATACTTTGCTAGAAGTGAAATTGTTAGGTAATAGGGAGTGTGCATTTAAAATTTTAATGGTACTATCTGGGGCGCCTGGGTGGCGCAGTCGGTTAAGCGTCCGACTTAAGCCAGGTCACGATCTCGCGGTCCGTGAGTTTGAGCCCCGCGTCAGGCTCTGGGCTGATGGCTCAGAGCCTGGAGCCTGTTTCCGATTCTGTGTCTCCCTCTCTCTCTGCCCCTCCCCCATTCATGCTCTGTCTCTCTCTGTCCCAAAAATAAATAAACATTGAAAAAAAAATTTTTTAATTTTAATGGTACTATCAAATTCCTTTAGTCCTTTATTTTTTAATGTACACATTTTTAACCTTACAAAAAACAGACTAGTACAGTGGACACCCTTGTATCCATCACCAAAGTTAACAGTTACCAAAATCTTGTTACACTTCCTATTTTATTTATTTATTTTTTAAGTAGTTTCCACACCCAAAGTGGGGCTGGAACTCACAACCGTGAGATCAGGAGTCACATGCTCTATAGTCACATGAGCCAGCCAGGTGCCCCATTACACTTCCTATTTTATTTTACTTTTTATTATTTAAAAAAAATTGTTTTTTAAGTTTATTTATTTATTTTGAGAGGGACATATCAGCAGGGGCTGAGAGAGAATCCAAGCAGGCTCTGCAGGGTCAGCAAGGAGCCCGATGGGCTCAAACTCACAAACTGCAAGATCATGACCTGAGTGGAAATCAAGAGTCAACTGACTGAGCCACCCAGGTGCCCCTACACTTCCTATTTTATTTTATTTTTGTATATTTGTTTTTAAATGTTTATTTATTTTGAGAGAAAGAGAGAGCACGTGTGCAAGCACGAGAGGGATAGGGAAAGAGGGGGACAGAGGATCCAAAGCAGGCTGTGTGCTGACAGCAGAGAGCCTGACATGGGGCTCTAACTCACCAATTGTGAGATCTTGACCCTAGCCGAAGTCAGATGCTCAACCAACTGGCCACCCAGGTGCCTCTACACTTCCTAATTTAAAGCAAACTCCAGATCTCATGCCATTTCATCTCTGTATATCTCAGTGTACATCTCTAAAAAAATAGAGTCCTTTATGAAGTAGAAATTAATTTCACTATCTTTTAAGCATTTCTTCTCTGTTGTTAACACCGACGCTCATTTAGCAGCATATGTAGGTAGTGCTTATACCTTTGAGATTCAACTGATCTAAATCAGAGTTAAAATGTAGAAAGAATCAATGACTGATGGAATAGTACTTAATTGAAAAGAATATACTAATAAGCTAATCTACTTTTCTTGATATTATTTACAAATCTGAAATTCTTATTTTGAATAATGTTTTAATTCAATATTTAAAGTTATTTTTAGTGACTTGAGTATTGTGAATTTATTTCAGACCTTTGAATCAGCTGTGCAAGAGAATGTCAGCATTAATGGGCAAGCATGGCAGGAAGCTTCAGATAGTTTTATGGGTATGTGTATTAACTTCTTCCTTGTGTCATTTCTGAGTTATTTTTGTAGCTAACTTTATTTCAGATGCTAATTTTAATCCCCATTTTCAGTGTCCCATTTAAAAAATTTCCTTCACTAGGGGGATGGGGGAAGGAAATGAATCTAAAAGACTATGGAAGCCATAAATCTGAAGCAAACAATACAGTACGTACCTTGATTCTATATATATGCTATCTGGCATTCTCAACAAGAATCTGATTAATCTTTGAAAGTACCCTTCTTAATAGTTTACTGGAAAATACTGTACAACTATCTCCAGACAAAAAAAAACAAAAAACAAAAACAGGCCCAGAGAATTTCTGTGATTAATACCTTATAAGTCAAGTTGTAGTTTTACAGGCGATCCTTAGAGTAGATAGTGAAGTACCCTTAGAAGTATGAAGTTAAATTATAAGAGTACCATGTAAAGTATGAGGTAAATATATGGAGAAACCTTCTTAAAGACAGATTATTTTCTTCAAAGAAGATTTGATTGTACTAACTAATGATTTTGACGTATCTGAAGAAATCAAAGTTTTAATAGAAAGTGGTCAGTGTAGGAAGGACAAAATTAGTAGAAAAGGAATGATCTATGTGGGAAGAGAGGCAGAATTTTCCAACAATGTCTGAGAGAAGGACTACCCTGACAAAAGGGTCAGAGTGTCTTGTCTTTCCCCATAGTGATGTTAGAGATGCTGACCAGCATAACTTGGTATCACTGCTTGATATCACTTGATCCAGTTATACTCTTGAGCTGATCGCAAGCCCATCAAGTAACCTCTGTGGTTATAATTTTTCTTCTCAACGTTAAGATAATACTTTGCCCAGCAAATTTCATGTCTAATCCTTGGGATTATTATAGTTATCTCTTCAGAGTCACCGATGTTCACTTTCTGGTTTATATGTTAAAATGGTAAAAGCAGTAACATTAGATTTCTCAAATATCAGAGTGATTGCCAGTTAGTAGGGGAGAGGGGGTGTATCACAATCACCTAAGAGAATTTTCAAACTACACAGCCTTTACTGTATCTTTATCTGACTCTTGTTCTGTGAAGTCACTTTGGAATTGCTTTATTGTTTGCTCCAGGCTGCCTTTAGCAATATGATTCATCAATTTATAGATTAAGATATGTATTTTCTAATAAATTGGCAGCCTAGCTGGAGTATGGTTATTCTTTGTTCCTTTTCCTCCTTATAACTGTGAGGGGAAATAGTTGAGAATACTACAATTTTACCTTCTTTCATGGGCACTTGATAACACCAGGCATGATACCAAATTCTAGGACGTAGATGAGAATACCTGGTCCTTACCATTTAGGAATTCATTGTTAATGGAAGGAAATGGACGAAGAATTACTATACTGTTTGGGAAGGGGGAGAAGACCTAACAGAGTGGATTGTTATTAAATTAAATGCATTTAATAAATGACAGCATGCTAGATGAAAAGGAGGAAGGACATTTGAAGCAAAGAAAACAGCATATGCAAAGGCACAAAGGAGTGATATGTTTGGAAAATACCAAAAATGAATTGGGGAAACTAATGGCAGATGTGGCCAGATAGATAAATTTGGGCCATATCACAAAGAGCCCTGAGAGTTTGCTGAGAAATTTGCATTTTATCCTGTAGGAAATGGAAAACCAGTGGAGATTTTTAAAGTAGAATTTACATGAAAAGCTTTGTGTTTTAGAAAGCTACCTGCCCGCTGTGTAGGGGTTGGATTGGAGAAGAGAGAAATTCAAGGCAGGCTGATCTTAGGGAAGTTATTACAGTAGTACAGTAAAAGACAGTGAAGACTTGCCCTAAGTAGGAAAGGAGAGAAAAGGGTTCAAGGGATATTCAGCAGATAGAATTAAAAGGATTTGTATCTGATCTAATACACAGAAGCAGTAAGTAAATTTCACAAAGGAGAGGGTTTTTTTGTCTGTTTTGTTCACGGGGATCATTTTAGAAATGAGTGGAGAAATGAAAGAATGAATGAATATACAAGTGAAATCAACCTTCTCCTTTCCTCTGTAACTACCCTGAAAGGACTTGATTTTAGGTTTGACCAGGTACATTTAAGAATTAAAGTGTAAGTTCCTTGAGAGCAGGGGCTATATTTATTTTTCTTATCACTATATTTCCAACACTTAGCTTGGCACATAGTAGGTACCTAGTAAATACTTGTTACATTGGGTGACAAAATCCTCCCTCCTCAAATTGTTTATACATTTCAGTTTTGTAGCTTTATCATTAGGTGGCGCTGAGAAACCACTTTCCTCCTACATAAAAGATTTAGCTGGGGGACTTTTTTTTAACTGTGAAATAGTACATTATTATTTCAGGCTAATGATTGAACTTTTTATTTTTTTTTATTTTTTTATTTTTTTCAACGTTTATTTATTTTTGGGACAGAGAGAGACAGAGCATGAACGGGGGAGGGGCAGAGAGAGAGGGAGACACAGAATCGGAAACAGGCTCCAGGCTCTGAGCCATCAGCCCAGAGCCTGACGCGGGGCTCGAACTCCCGGACCGCGAGATCGTGACCTGGCTGAAGTCGGACGCTTAACCGACTGCGCCACCCAGGCGCCCCTGATTGAACTTTTTAAATGGATAAATTAAAATTTAGGGAGGGCTGCCCACTTAAGTGAGTATTCAAAGTAAGCAATGGCTGATTTTCTCATAATACTCTCAAAAGAAGTAATTTAGTTGGACTTAATGAGTATTTGTCACATGAATGAGAGATACCTGATATAGGTCATTAATCTTTACCCAGTATGTATATATATGCTGATATATATCAACAATGTTTGGAAATGTTTCCAAAAATATGTATATTACTATTTCAGACTTCTTAAGGAAGCTTCTACTCAATAAAATAGATACATTTCCAGCATAGACTTTGATACAAATGGCCTAGCTCTTTAGTATTTTTAACTACTTATTCTTAAAGATGATTTTCAAAATAAGGGTGATGTACCATCTGCATTCATTTCATCCGGGGTGTCTAATTTTGGGCCTCCGTTTCAGAGGCCTTTGTTGAATCAAAATTTCTGTACTCCTGACAAGGTCCCCATGTGATTTTTCATTCTGCTGAAGTTTGAGAGTCACTATTTTAAAACAGGAAAGCAATGGATAACATAGTTTTAGCTAAATCAAAGAAATTCTAAAGTCACTGTGTCTCTTACTTTTTCTTACTATTTATCCAGTTGTGTCTATTTCAGATTTACCAACTCTATGCTACTGTCACAGCTTTGGTGCAGCACACAATAAACTCAAAACATGTTAGAAACTGTGACATTAAATGCCCTTTACAGTTTAGTTCTTTTGTAATTATATCATCCTTCTTTCCTTATGCTTTATCCTGCAGCCATTTAGAACTTTTAGAACAGTTTCCCCAAAACTCTTATGATCTTGCAAATACAGTTTCCTCTGACTAAAATGCTTCTCTCTGTATTTTTTTCCTACATTTTTTTTAATCTAATGGATTTACATTTAGATTTCAAGGCTCAGCTCAAATGTTACTTTCTGTTTAAAGTCTTAAATTCCCCAAGCAGAGTTAGTGTTCCATTGTTCTGTGTCTGAATAGCATTTTGTTCATACCTCTGTTGAATTTATCAAGTTGTTTTGTAGTTTCCTGTTTCTTCCAGTGAACTGTGATCCCTTAGAGAGCAGGGATCACGTTATATTCATCTTTGTATTTTTTCTGATTTAGGCCTAGCTTCCCATAGGTGCTCAGTAATTGATTTTTCAACGAGTAAATGAATTAATCACCAAAGTGGGGTCATACATTAACTTACCGTATTTGTTTTTCTTAATTATTTTTTGTTTTCTAAATTTAGCTTATCTGTATTACATTACTATATAGGGTATAACCAATGTATTTTAAGAAAATTTTTAATATTTTTTCTCTTGAAATAGATTCTGATATCAAAGTACTTGAAGATCAGTTTGATGAAATCATAGTAGATATAGCCACAAAACGTAAGCAGTATCCCAGAAAGATCCTTGAATGTGTCATCAAAACCATAAAAGCAAAACAAGAAATTCTGGTAAGATGATTTATCTTTGAGAGAGTAAATTTTGTGTAATGTCTATTTTACTATAATAAAAAAATTAAAGTATAAGATCTGTGTGGCATAAATGACATTTTGCTTTCTTTGCCTTTTCTTCCTCAATTACTACTGTTTGTCTCTTGTAAGATTTTTTCCTATTCTAAGTCATACAGATTTTATTTTTTTTTTTATTTATTTTTTTTTTTAATTTTTTTTTCAACGTTTATTTATTTTTGGGACAGAGAGAGACAGCATGAACGGGGGAGGGGCAGAGAGAGAGGGAGACACAGAATCGGAAACAGGCTCCAGGCTCTGAGCCATCAGCCCAGAGCCTGACGCGGGGCTCGAACTCACGGACCGCGAGATCGTGACCTGGCTGAAGTCGGACGCCTAACCGACTGCGCCACCCAGGCGCCCCATAAGTCATACAGATTTTAAACACAGCTGATTTTAAAATAGAATTTGAAGATGAAAGACTGACAATGACTTTACAACTCTGAGACCAAGAAGGCAAAATAAATTTATCTTTTAAGCCTTTTCTTTCTGTGTGTCGTTTGTGTTTGCATATTATTTGTGTATGTTTATATATTTTGGAAGACCCTTTAGTTAAACTGATGATGAAGGTTGAGTACCTGTTCATAACACCGAAATTTGCTTTCTGAATTGTGTGTAATTTGTTTTGCTCCGAAAGTCATGATGGGACGAGGGTAGGTTTGCTGGGAATGCCATTGCCTCTGGAGTGAGAAATGCGTGTTGCTTTAGATTATGTTATACTGTTTGTCATTAATTTTTGAAATTAGCATACTTTCACGTATAAATCTTCTTGTTGCTTTTTTTGTCAGGAATTGTTTTAGACAGTAAAGATGGTTACTTTACCTAAAACTTTTAGTCATTATTCCATGAGAAAAAATATAAGCAGAATTTTTCATTTATTTTCTGCCATAACAGTTCTCAAAGAAATACCCTACTCCATTCCCCCCCACTGCTTTTTAGTGTTTCCTAGGGAAAACATTCAAAATGTATTTACTTTCTCTCTCCCTACTACTACCCTCTTCTTTCCTGGAAAGAAACCTAGTAATCAGTATTGCATACAAGAGAGAAAGTTAGCAGGCCTGGGTGAAATGGAAGTTTAAAAACTGATGAAAAATGGATGGATGGGGTAAGGATACTAAAGACAGCTCTTTTAGAAAACATTTTTGTCTCCTGCTGGCTTTGGACAGGAGTAAGGCAGAACATTTTCCTTTTTCTTTTTGCTGAATTGTGGATCCTGTTCCGTGTCATCCTTGTGCAAGGACCGTGCTAGTTTTCTGTATTGTTCCAGTTTTAGTATATGTGCTGCCGAAGCCAGCAGGTGGGTCCTGTTTCTGTACTTCCGCTCTTAGCAGTCCCAGCGTATCAAAAGGTGTGTAGGCTTTAGTGTGCTGGCATGGTAGCGTGAAACAGAGTTGCTGTGGACATAGGAGCTCTGAGTCCCAGACGTCTTAAAAGGAACTTTTGAAAAACAGTCTGTCCATAATTTGGAGACTACCTTGTCCTTTAAATCCAAAATCCAGTCTCCGTGCCTTTAATTTGCTTGTTCGCTTTTCTTCGGCGTTTTTAATGGTGCTATTTCTTAGTGTACGCAGTAGGTGGCGCTACTATAAAAGACTTAGTTTGTAATTCAGACTTTGAACTTTTCGCCTCTCCAGCAGATTTCAGCATCTCACCCCTCTCCAAAAAAAAGAAGGATTCTACTGACTAATAGTATATGTGCTTACATTAGCTGAAAGAAATGTTTATATGAAGGATTAAACGATTAAATCTGTTTAATTTATATTGTGTTTAGAAGCAGTACCACCCTGTTGTACATCCATTGGACCTAAAATATGACCCTGATCCAGGTGAGTCAGTGTTCATTTGTGGTACAAGTGAAGCATCGCTTGTAATTTTTATGAGTCCCTGATACTTTTTTTTTTTTTTTTTTTAATTTCTTTTTTCAACGTTTATTTATTTTTGGGACAGAGAGAGACAGAGCATGAACAGGGGAGGGGCAGAGAGAGGGAGACATAGAATCGGAAACAGGCTCCAGGCTCTGAGCCATCAGCCCAGAGCCTGACGCGGGGCTCGAACTCCCGGACCGCGAGATAGTGACCTGGCTGAAGTCGGACGCTTAACCGACTGCGCCACCCAGGCGCCCCCCTGATACTCTTTTAAAGGTGTCAGCGTGAAGGGTATCTTCCCTTTGATGGTCTCACTACCAGTCATCTGTGTTTAGCTCTTCACCTAAGATTATGAGAGCTTGCTCCAAACATACTGACTCAGGATCTCCAGGAGTATCTGAATTTGTGTCTGAATTTGTATAAAGCTGTCCCTTGACCTAGACTATTATAAAACCTTTTCAATCTCTAGCTTCTATTGTAATACCCTCCCATTTCTAGCTGCTACTATACTATCCATTCTTTGAATTACAGCTAAAGTTATACTATTAAAGTTTCGTAGTGTCACTTCCCACGGTGATAACCATCATTGGTTTCTCATCATTTACAAAATAAAATCCAATAAAAATATAATGTTGAACTTAAGAGATATGCATACTTGATATACCTTTGAACTCAACTCTGTTTCCATTTAGATGCATCCTTTAAAACACAGAGAAATAAAATTGATACAAATTTATGTAAATTTAGCAATAGAATTTGCATTGCTAAAAATGTGGATCTATATATTTTTTTAAATGCTGTATTCTTACATTTAAAAATTTGAAAAGATTTTCCTAAGAGACCTTTTGGTATTTTCCTTTGGCATTCAGAAGTAGCATTTCTGAACTATTAGAAAAACAGTTAAGACCTTGATTTATTTGTATGGGCTATTTATAAACTTATGGCTTTGAGTAGTTAATCTTTGTCAAATTGTGCACCACTTTCTAACATGTCCCCTACCGCTCCTAAACCTCCTAAAGCCAATGAGATAAACCAAGAAGGGGATGTACAAGTGTAAAGATACTCTGAAGTTTGTTAAAATCACAGCATTCACTGTGTTTGACAAATACAAATTAACCTGGGACCTAATGCTTAATTGTCATGGCTCACTAAAAAGGGTAAGTTGCCAAAATGCAGTGGTTGACATATGCTTGTTTTGAACAACATAAAAATAATAATTGATACCTGTGATATCATAATAACCCAAGTATTACTTTTTTTTTTTTTTTAATGTAAACTCTGTGCTTAACATGGGGCTAAAACTTAGGACCCCAAGATCAGGAGTCACATGTTCTACTGACTGAGCCCCCCAAGTATTACTTTTTAGATATAGTTAATTTTCCTCTAAAGAAATTTGTAACCTTTTATCTTAAGAGAGAAAACAGGGGCGCCTGGGTGGCGCAGTCGGTTAAGCATCCGACTTCAGCCAGGTCACGATCTCGCGGTCCGTGAGTTCGAGCCCCGCGTCAGGCTCTGGGCTGATGGCTCAGAGCCTGGAGCCTGTTTCCCATTCTGTGTCTCCCTCTCTCTCTGCCCCTCCCCCGTTCATGCTCTGTCTCTCTCTATCCCAAAAATAAACGTTGAAAAAAAAAATTAAAAAAAAAGAGGGAAAACAAATTTACTTAAATGATCTTTTGAAGGTCTATGTGATTTTATTCCTACCATTCCAGTTATGTAGTACTAGTGGAAAATATCCTCTCTATCATATGATTATGACTTCAGAATTAAGCAGAGGAATAATTAGAATCTGTGTTTTGGATAAATTTTGAGATTTTGTCATTCTACATTTTCATAATATTTATAAACTTAGAATAGCATAAGTTCTTTAAGCATAGCAAAATTAACTTACAGTTTTATTAACTGTGTATTTTGGGGCAAGTCCCTTGATTTCTTTAACCTCAGTTTCTTTATGGTGAGTTCTACATTTGGAGCCTGATGCTTTAGGTGTTAATTCCCGCTCTGTCACTAAATATTATAGCATTGTTCTGCCTATATTATAGCATTGTTCTGCCTACTTGTTGAGGTTGTATTATCAATCACAAGAGATGAGGAGTTCTATAATATAGAACTAAAATACATAAGTACAAGTTTGTAAAGAAATACGATATAATAATAACCTTATTATAAATCCCATCATTTATAGTGGCATACCTTATGATACTGTGTAGCTTATAATACATCAAACTGGTAAAATCAGGCAAAATTAATTAAAATGGCTTAGGAGGAAAATAGAAAGCATAAATTTGTATAGAACCTAAAAGTCTGAATAAGCTGCATGGGAAAACTTTTATGGGAACTTCTTGAAAGTTTTTTTCTTTTTGTTAGAGTATTAAATGATACTAAATTTATTTGAAAGCTGACTTTTTTTTAAAGTTTATTTATTTTGAGAGAGAGAATGTGAGCAGGGGAAGGGCAGAGAAAGGGAGAGAAGGGGAAAATCCCAAGCAGACTCTGTGCTGTCAGTACAGAGCCTGACGCAGGGCTCAAACTCACAAACTAAGAGATATGACCTGAGCCAAACTTGACAGTCGGACCCTTAACTGACTGAGCCACCCAAATACTCTGGGAAGAGTTGATTTTTTAAAAATTCTTGAAATATTTCGAACATATAGAAAATATGGAATATAACATAATGAACATCTTTGTTGCTACCACCCATATTTAAGGGCTGTTCACATTTTTGCCAAATTTGTTTCAGACCTTTTTAGAGACTAAAAGCTATGGATATAGTTGAAATGTTCTCTTTACTCCCTCATCATCCTATCCTGCCTTCCTCTTACTTTAGAAGTAATTGCTATCTTCAAGCTGAGTGGCTCTTTCCTATCTGTATTTTTATGCTTTTACTTTATGGATGTGTAACCATAAATAATATGTGGCATTTGTTTTTAAATTTTTATATAAATTATATCATACTGATCATATTCTGTAACTTTTCCCCTCTTGACATTGTACATATTCTTGCCCATATTTTGCTAATAATTGTTACTGTAAAGCTTTCTATATGTGTGTGTATATATATGTATATATATTATATGTATATGTATATTTGTATATCTGATATATACATATATACACATACATATACACATATTTAAAAATTTTTTTTGCCAATTTGATAGGCATTCAGTAGTAAAGGTTGAGTATACTTTCTTGTGTTTCCTACAGTTTCTTCTGTGAGTTGCCTCTATTTATATTCTTTGCCCATTTTTCTGTTGAGTTGTTTGAGCTTTTCTTATTCACTTCTAAGAGTCATATATACAGACACATATCCATACACATGTACACATATTCTGGATTGTTTGGTTATAAACACTGTAAATACTTGCTCTCAATTTTTGGCTTGTCTTTCAACTTTATTTATAATGACATTATATGTAAATTTTAATAAGATTTACCAGGTTTTTCCCCTTATAATTTGTTCTTTGAGTGTCTTTAGGAAATCCTCTACCCAAGTGACATAAAGGTCCTTTGATATTTATTGTTTCGATTATCAAGTTTAGGTCTTGTATCCATCTGAATTTTTTTTTTTTAGGAAGGAATCTAATTCTGATAGCCAGTTGTCCCAGCATCATTTCCCCCACCCCCATCTTTTCTCCACTGCTTTGTAATGTCACACTCTAATATGCTAAGTTTCCATATATTTGGGGGTCTTTTCTGGACCCTTTTTTTTTTTTTTTTTTTTTTAGAGAGAGAGTGTGTGTGCAAGCAGGGGAGGGGCAGAGAGAGAGAAAGAGAGAGAGAGAGAGACAGACGGAGAGAGAGAGAATCCCCAAGCAGGCTCCATGCTCAGTTCACAGAACCCAACATGGGGCTCAAACTCACGAACCGTGAGATCATGACCTGAACTGAAATCAAGAGTTGATAACTGGTAACATTTTGGGATTACATATTATAATTGAATATTGCTAATGTTTAAGAACACCACTGATTTTTATTGTTGAACTCTTATTAGTTCTAATGGTTTATCTAGTTCCAATTAGATTTTTTAAAATGTAGATAATCATACCATTTGCAAGTAATGATGAGTTTTGTCTTTTTCCTGCACATCTTTTTTTGTCTTATTACATTGATTAAAATCTCCAGTATAATGGTGACTAGTAGCAGTGATAGTGGTCATAATATTTTAAAATTATGAATAAGTGTATAATTTTATTGAATACTTTTTTTGCCCCAACTGAGATCATATATTTGTTAACTAACTTTATTGCAGGATAATTTACATATAATAAAGTACATCAATTTTATGCATACAGTTTGAGTTTTGACAAATATATACAACTATGTAACTATTACCACAATTCAGATATAGAATGTTTTCTGCCACTCATAAAGTTCCCTTGTGCCCTTAGAGCGTATGCTTTTTGTCTCTAACTCTGTTAATATGGTAAATAAACATTGACAGATTTTTCTGTTGGTTATCTTTGCATTTATAGGGAAAACCCCATTTAGTAATATATTTTTTCTTTCATACACTGTGGAATTAAGTTTGCATATACTTTATACTTACACTTTGTTTAATATATTTACCTCTAGTATATTTGCATCTGTAGTCACACACACAAAATGAACATGTGCTGTTTAAAACATGCTATTCTGGGGCACCTGGGTGGCTCAGTCCATTAAGTGTCTGGCTCTGGATTTTGATTCAGGTTATGATCTCACGGTTGGTGAGTTCGAGCCCTGAGTTGGGTTCTGGGTTCTGCAGTGTGGAGTCTGCTTGGGATACTCTCTCTCTCTCTCTCTCACTTTCTATCTCTCTGACCCTCTCCCAGCCATGCCCTCACATCCTCTCTCTCTCAAAAATAAGTAAATTAACTTAAAAACAAAACATGCTGTCCTTTTCTAATGTCATCAAGGTTATACTGCCCTCATAAAACAGTTTGTAAACATAGAGGTTATTTGCTCTTTGAAAAGTTGATAAG